AGCTTCTACATCAAATCACTGGCATTTCATGTCCCTCTTCATTCAAAGAAACAAAGAAGTCGCATGAAGTGTGAGGTCAGGAGAGTAAGATGCGTGGAGCAAGAGAAGCATGTTGCTTTTTGCCAAAAACCAGTGCAAGATGGCTGTGTGAGCAGGTGCACTGTCGTGGTGGCAAAACCAGTCTCCAACTGCCACCACAAATCAGGCCTTTTTTGTCGCACATGGTTATGTAATCTTTTCAGAACCTCTAAATATAAAGCTTGGTGAACAGTCTGACCTGGTGGAGCAAACTCCACAAACACTCTCCCCCTCACATAAAAAACAAAAACAAACGCGCATCAGTTTTTGGGGGGTACTTCCTTGTACATGAACTGCTCACATGTACATCTGAAACTCCTAAGTGACTGGGTACTATTTACACAAACATCGGGGTTGGTGACAGGGCAAAAGGTTCAATAACACTCATTCACAAAGGCATTACCATGCAGACTAGACTGATACGTGTCTAAGAACGCAAGGAGAGCCTTAAAGCGGCAAATACAAGGTAGCCCCAGGCCACCATTCATTGGGCACCATCAATAGCAAGAGATCCAGACCAAAGCCCACCAATTCCATGAGAGAGCACTCATCTGCTTCGCAGTAAGATATTTCAGCCTTATGTCTAAAGGAGGATGTCGATGCTTTCAATCGGCTACAGGGAAATTTGAGGTAAAACACAGTTCAATTTGAAGGGTTTCCCATCGAGTCTTTCTGGCGTGGCCTATGAAGGATGTCGTGCCCCTCAAAGAGTCTACAAAGTCCCAGTAGTCTATAGCACACCGCCTGAGTCCCCAAGGGCTGGATAGAAACGAGCTCAGGTGTTTAATTGGGAACATAGTACTAGGTGTATTCTCCGTTTGTGCTCTATGTAATTATTAAGCGTTTTTCCCTGTGGGCAGTTGCTCGACCTAGTTTACCCACCAATAGACGTGTCATTGCCTTCTCTGAGACATCCATGCCCCTCGTCCCCCATCATGACTAGAAATTGCAGAAAGGTGAACTTATCACTCTTGGAGGAGTGTCTACTGATTTGACTGTAACACGAGCTGTATGGCAGCAACTGCATGGTCTTCTCCCTCTCTCCACCATCTGGAAAAACTGACCCCAGCCGACACAAGGTCTTCTCTATGTGCTTCTTAAGATGGACAGCTACAGAGGGTGCTATTACAGTTCACTGGCCCAAGGCAGGCTCTCTACCTTGCTGCTTGGGAGATTACATGACCTGAGGGGAGAACCTGCTTTTCTCTTGGCATTTATCCTAATGGTAGTGGACTCCGACAGTATTGTACTTTTGTGATTAACTACACTCGGCATACTTGTTTCCAGGTCCAGCTGTATCAGGTGTTTCTGTTCCCACTCGTCTTTGTCTTTCCTATGCCAGTAATATTCTCTTATTACTGCATAAATTTTGTAGTACATTTTTAAATCCTCCAATTTTTTTTTAAAATGATTGTTTTGACCATTCTGCTGTCTTTAAATTTCTATATTCTGCAAAGAAGACAGCAGGAAATGATGATGACTCCATTAGATCTACAGATTAAATTGGTGAGTAATGCTATTTTTAACATTAACCTCAGGAGCGCTGGTGGCATAGTGGTTTCGCATTTAGCTGCGACCCATAAGGTCAGCAATTCAAACCACCAGTCTGCTCTTTGGGAGAAAGATGGGCTTTCTGAAGCTGCAGTTACAGTCTCAGAGAATTCACAGGCGCAGTCCCACCCTGTCTGAGAGGGGGCCTATGAGCTGCCGCAGACTTGACGGCAGTTAGTTTGTCTTTTTTTTGGTTTTCCAATCAATAAACGCATCTTTCCACTTATTTTTCTTTCACACTACACGGTTTTCATTTCTTAATAAAAACTTGTTTCTAAGTATTATATTACTTTTGATGCTGTCATAAATGAAATTTTAACTTACTTTGGTATTCATGTGAATGTAGAGAAATATAATTGTTTTTTCTACATTTATCATTTGTCCTGTAACTTTGCTGAACTCATTTTTATTTTAAATCCCTTCCTTAGGATAGGGATTCTGTCTATACACAGAAGCTTGTTAACTATAAATTCAAATAGCTTTCTTCTTCCTTTCCAACTTGCATGCCTCTGGCATTTCGGAGTCCTAACTAATTAAGGTACAAGTTAATACGACTCAACATTGTATATTTTACATAGATCCATTTTTTACAAACAGAGAAAAGTCAAGTAGGATATTAAAAAATGGCAAAAACAAGTGGTAAAAATACATATTCCCTCAAGTGTTAACCACAGGACATATTTTAAAACCAATGTTCCAGGTAGCATTTTTTAAAAATTACAATTTAGCTTAAAAAGGTCAATGTGTTTCATGAAACATAGATTAGTTTTTCTAGCAAACATTGATTAGATACCATCATTCTGCCTCTGCTAATGCAGAATATATGAATAATAAGTTCTATGTCCATTTCCCTTCAAGTGCTTTGGAACCTCAGTTTTAATCTCTGACACAAAGGCAAAGGACTAGCCATACAAGCATCCGGGTCTCCTCTGTGGTTAGGATACTGTGGAAGGCTCAGTGGACGTTGTGCTGAGCCAAGGGAATCCTTTTCCTCGTTTCCAGGGTTGCTGTAAGCCTGGACGTGCTGCTGAGCTTCATTAGCATGCATTTTATGACCGCGTGGTCTGTCAGGGTCACTGTTCTTTCCTTGGAGTAGGTGGTGGCTCTGAGAACACTGCTTACTTTTGTGAGTTCTGTATTTAGCTTTCCCACACACCGGGGCACTCTCTTCATCAGAAGAAGGTCTGTCCAGGCAAACACTCTTCGTCATTACCATTTTCTGAGTGGTTTGAGCATCAACTTTACTGCCATGATTTAAAGCTGCATTTATTTTATAACTTTCTTGGAGCGATTGGTCTCCTTTTAGAACATCACTGTTTCTGTATTCATTTTGCAAATGAATTGGTGTAAACTTCTTTGAAAGATACGCTGGACAAACAGGAACGCTGTTAGCAAAGCAAGGCTCTTTCACCTGAAGTGGGGACAAAGCTTTCAAACCAATATCTGGTTGTACCTTATCCTGGGCGTATGATGATTTCATACGTATTCGTTCCTTTAAAGGCAAATCTTGCAGCTGCAAAGCGGTGAGGCCCGAGAGCAGATGCTCCTCAGGCCCAGTCTTTCGAAGGTCGCCATCGGAGGCTTTTTTGATGTTGGTGGTGCACCATTCTGAGTCACCTGACAATCGTTCTGAGGTATTGTCAAAGCTGTTGTGGACGGCTGGTTCCAGTTCTGATTTTAAACTGTGAGAGACAGCGCTCTTTGGAAGAGCCGGGGAATAACTGAAAGAAGTACTTTCCCAGTCGATGGCGGTCAACTGTAGGTCAGTAACCACAGATAGATTGTGGGATAAGGGAGTGGGCTGACTGGATTCTGAAGTCTGAAGCTTACTGACCTTTTTAATTTCATGTGTAGCCACGGGGTCTGGTGAAGACATTAGCTCATCCTGTCTCTCTAAACAAGCAGCAGCTCCTGGTGAAAGCAAGCTACTCTGAGACGGAGCAGAAGATTCTTGGAGTAGTTTAGAATATGGAGGAATTTCCAAAGGGAATTTAGGATTCTGCTCAGGACAGGTTACACTCGTGTGTTCCAAATTCATGTGTGACTGCAAATTCATTACATCGTCTAATTCACGCAAAACATTTTCTTTAGGCTTAATTTTCATACCTGAAAAGAATAAAAATATAATTAAAATTCCTCACACTGTTAACAATTAACTAAGACATTCAGATCTGAAATATTCTATAGAAGCAGTATCTTCTTTGTCTCAATGTATTCTTGAAAACTGCCATAAAACTGAATATTAAGAAATCTTTTCCTTCGAAACAGTGTTATAATTGAGTTGTTTTCCTCACCAAGTTGGGGGGGGGGATAAAACCTTACTTTTATAACCAAAAATGTCATACATCGCAGGTGCTCGATAATTGGCTAATAGAATTATTAACATTCAGGTAAGCTAGAAGACCGAGAGCAGAGGTTTTCACTTT